TATGAGCAAACTAATGCAAAAACCAGAAGATAATGTACAACAATATAAAAGTATTTAGAAGAACTTAAGAAAATAACTGAATTTGAATCAATAATACACACTTAAATATCATTATTATTATCGTAATCTATTAAATATTATTATTTAATTTAATTTAGTTTAATTTATTAAATAGAATTAACTTAGTAATTATAAGCAAAACCATATCTTTATAACGATGTAAATATTGTCTTACGCCTCTATCAGCAGAATCGGGTTGCTGAATGCACAAACAAGACAAAAAAAGAATATCTAGACATTAATATATACTAATTGTCAAGTATTTAAAAGAATTTACTTAAATATATAATATCTGAACTGAAACAATAATATGTATTTATATCATTCTCTGCTGTATATTGAATGCGAAGACATGAAAAATAATTTTAAAGTAAAATAACACTAAATTCATCGATATCAAATACAATGAAATACAATATAATAAATATATATAAATATGTATAAATATATAAAAGAAGTATACATAAGAATAATAGATATATAAGGAAATAATATAGACAGGAGAAATGCAATAAGAAAGGGATAACAGCATCAAAAGATAAAGATAAAGCAAAAGGTAAATCTATATGAGGGCATTAAAGAGGATAAGATAAAGATAAAGATGCGGCATATAAGAAGACACATAAAGACAGAAAAGAGTTATCAAAAAAACATTTTTCTTTTCTTTGTCTCACTGCGGGTCCATAGAAACCCCATAAAAACTTCGCGACATTGTCTCCCAATCGTCTACGCGTGCGCTTTTTCTTCTTTTCCTTCTTTTTCTGCACAAACATATATATATATATATGTATACATATATATATTTATATGCATGTATATAGTTATATACATATACATATACAAATATGTATGCATGCATATATAGGCATTTACATTTATATATTTTAAAAATTTATAATATAATATATATACATATGGATATATATATATATACATATATTTGAAAATATAAGTAAAGACGTACAGATTTATCGTATATACACATATATATATATTTATTTATTTAAAAAACAAGTAAAGGCACGCAGATATACTAACAGGTGGTGGGGGAGGCGGTAGCAGTGGTGTGTCTTCTCCGGGTTCTTCACCGCCAATTCCATCTATCTGAAAAAAATAAAAGAAAATATATTTAAACGGATTTAATTTAAATATTAAAAAGATATTTAAAAGAAAATATATTTAAACAGACTTAATTTAAACATTAAAAGGCGTTTAAAAGACAATATATTTAAACAGATATAATATATTTAATAATATAGTATAATTTTTAAAAGATATTTGACATGAATTATCTTAAAATAATTTGCTTAACTACTCATTTATATTTCCCTCTAATGCGTCTACGAATAGCCTTTTTGCTAACCCTAAACCCTAAACCCTAAACCCTAAACCCTAAACTTTAAACCCCCACTTTAAAGGAAAAAAATGAAATACAACTGTGTTTATATTCAATACTAAGGCCTTACGTATACTGCATATAGATAGTGTATATATATATATTCGTATTTTTATATGTATATAATATATTTTTGTTGCTATATGAATACTAAACAAACGCATTGTAGAGATCTTCTCGCGTGCATATATATATATATATATATTGATACTTATAAACATACATATATGTATATATTATATCATGTATTGTAAATAAATATCTGTAATACATATGCTAAGATGGCAATTGGTAAGAGTGTTTAAAGAAGAAGTAAGTTTGTGAGTTTTAATGCGATTACTTCTAAAGAATCAGTGCTATCATTAAGTTGAGTTAATTCTTCTTCATCATCATCGCTGACGTCCTCCTCAACCTGCAGAGAAAAACAGGTATAAAAAGCAATGTTGAAGCTACAGACAGGAATCTTGTAGAGTAGTATATATAAATATATACATATATGTATATATATGTATATATAAATATGCAAATATATATATGTAAGGAATTATACTGCACTGCATATACACCTTAAATGCCTCACCTCCCAACTTATTGAAAATAAAGTCACCCATAATATAATAACAAGAAGAACTCCGTAGATATATGCTGGAGGGCTGGCTTTTCTACGAGCGGTTGCTGCCTCCTTCTCTAGCAGCTTTTCTGCTTCTTTCTTATCAAATGGATGATGCCCTGATCCAGCTGAAAGATGTTGATGTTGTATATTTTCTGCAGTTGGGGTTTTTCCATTGGGGAATTCAGGTGAAGAAGGCGAGGGATTCCTTAGTTCCTCTACAGAAGCAGCAAAACCCTCTCTGCATTTCAGGGAAAGCAGAAGAATGATGGGGAAAATGCATCTTAAAATAGTCGTCGTCATTTCAAATTACAAAAGAAGATAAAGAAAAGAATTATATTTATTCATGTCATGAAATATAGCGCGAGAAATTGCTCGCGAAGGAAATAAAAAAAAGATTAACGCCTTCATGCATAGCAAAAAATAATGCATACAATGATAGATAATAAGATTATATATTTAAAGTAATATTTATATTCCTTTTGACAGAGAAAGAAATGCTCGGAGTCAACCCTAACCGCCACACCCAACCTTAAGCAAAGGCGTTGCAATGTGTTGGGCCTTGTATTAGAACCCCTACAACAACACGTCTTATCTGCAAGGAAATCTTCGAATTTTTCGTCTTTCTTCTTATTAATACATCTAAAATACGTTAATTGTATGTATTTATACTTTATTAACCTTCAACTTCAACCGTTTTCTATGAAAGAAAGCTTATCAAGGGGAGGGCAAGAGGAGGCGGGTAAAGCGAGTGTTCCATTCAAGACGGTTCTACGTGCCCAACTCAAAAAATATACTTTTTTGAGTTCAAAATGTAAATTAAACTTACCTTTTCACTTTAGATATTGTTTTCTTTCCTTATTCCTCATTATATTCTCTCCGAAAAATTCATAGCGCCACCCATCAATATGCATAGCAGGAAAGGAATTGTCGCTGTGCTCACAGAAGACAAATATATTATTTTCATTTGCATACATTCAACACTTCCTTTAATAATTAATAAAGGGTTTATTACGAATTAATTCATAGAATTTCTTCCACATCTGCTATTTCTATTAATAAAACCAGCTCAAGTTGCTAGGAGTTGGAGGGGCCTTCTGTCCTCACAACGGCACTAACCATCACAACTTGCAAAACAAGAAAAATAACTCAAATACATATTATTAATAACCTCAGATGCATCATAATAATCAATTGAAAGTTGTTCCATCTACTATCACCGAATAATAATGACAAAAATAATTAATAATAGACATACATGTAAATACATGTACAAAATAATAAATGATAGATGAGAACCGTGATAAAGAGCAGGCGGACAGACGGAGAAGAGATGAATGCTTCCTAATAAATGGTAGCAATGTTAAAAAACAAAGGGTTTTGCTTGTTTGTACAGGGTTTAGCTTTATTCATTTTACTGAGGACAAAGAACACGTAGATCTTATAAGATTGTTTCTTTCCTATGCCTATGCTGGCTTTGCAACCCACAGGGATTTTTATTGAATATATAAGTAATTGCTAAGTGCTTCTAACTTGTACGCGTCTTCCCTTTACATATATCTACGATATTAATCTTCTTTATTTGTTCCCTTCATCTATGAAGCTTTTTTCGTTTAAGTGAGTTAGATTATGCAGAATTATTGGTTGATTTCTTTGAATTGTTTATTTAAGGAAGAATTTAATTCGCAGTCATTCCTGCAGGCGCCGTCTGTGAAAGGGCTTTAATGTCGCTGCACTGAAGACGTAGGAATACTTTCTAACATCAGAGCTTTGCTTTGCTATAACATTTCTTTTTCTTGTTTGTTGTTCATGCCTTGTTTGTTGTTCATGTATATTTGAAAATGTTTCAGTCGCTTTCTCTTGCATCTCCTGTACAATTCATAGGTAAGTCCAAGTGAGAGCAGAGGTCTTATTAATGCATATGCTAGCACTTTACAGAATTATTGAAATACTTTCACTCGCCAGCATGCATGCAAGTAGAATTCATAATATTACTACCAGCATTGGCGGAGAGTGCTGCAACAAAAAGGGGGGAATAATCCCCCAATTGGCCGTCCATGTTGATATATATATTAATAAATATTGATAATATTCAATTCTGGCAGAGAAGCAACGAAAAGAAACCTCATTTACAGCACAAGCGGATGTTCTTAGCCTCCATAGAGGGGCCCCCGCTCTGCTCGTCATAGGAATGATTAAGTAAACTTTCTAGCGGAATAGTTCTTTTTGTTTGTTATCTTTGATATATTTATTAAATAATTAAATGCTAGCTGTGGATACACCTGAATTTACCAATTATTTCGGTATATTTTAGGCGCAGAGTTTGCCGTAGGTGTTTCAGGCTGTGTTTCTGTTCTAGTGCTGGCTGTTTATTTCCCTTAAGATTGTCTTTTTCTTTCATTCTTTTTGATAATCTTATGTATTTTTGTGTTTTATTTATATTCTTTCCAAAATAATTTAATCTATTAAGCCGGAAATCCCCTTATACCCAACCCGCGGTGTATGCTGTTGAGCTTGGCTTCATGGGCTCTCCCTTGTAACAAGACGAATATTTTTGTGTATTTTTTGCAATTACAACAATTGCTGCTTTTCCTTTTTAACAAAAACTTCTCAACGCAGTTGGCTGTTGCTGCTGCTGCTGCTTCTTCTTCTCATTTTCTGCATTTCTAAATACGAAGACAGATAGCGACAGAAAAAATGATCAAGTAATTTTTAGTTCTATTGGCATTGCATTTCACATTAAACCCTAAACAATAGAGCCTAAACCGTATACCGTAAAAGCAGAGAAAAGTGAAAAGAAGCCCAAATTGGAGATGCGGTGGTTTAAGGAAATAATCGCAATGGGCAGCTGGCTGCCCTTTGCTATATTCTCAGCTGCATGAATGGTTTATATCTTTTCTTTTTAAAAGACAAGATAATATTTCAATGCAGAAGATGAAGTGTAGAGAGGCGCTGCTCCTCTTCTCTATTCTTTTTCTATACCCAACTACCAACGCCGCACAGCTCGCTGTTCAATGCAAAGGGAGCAAAACAGCACACCCTCTTCTTCTAAATGATATATGTTTATCAAACATCGGAGCAAACAAACAGTTGAAAAGCAGAGAAAACGGCTTTGGGTTCATCGCTTCGCCTCGTGCACTCACCATCATCCCTTTCTCTAGAAAAGAGGCAGCTCAAGCAGCAACAACAGCAGCAGCAACAGCAGCAGCAGCAACAGCAGCAGCAGCAGCAGCAACAACAACAGCAGCGCAACCTTCAAATGCAACCCCGCGAACGGCACTAAGACGAAAGCGTATATCAACTCGGCTGCAGACAGAAAAAAAAGCAGAGAGAAGAACAAACAAGGAAGATTATAATTCGCTCACTTCAGGCGTTGGTATACCATCTGCTGCTTCTGCTGCAACAGCTGCTGCTGCATCCCTGGCTGCAGCAGATGCTGTAGGTGCTGCTACAGACCCTTCTCCTGCTGCTGGTGCAGCTCCTGCTGCTGCTGCAGCAGGTGCAGCTGCTGATGATGAAGGCGCCTTATCTGATTTTCCCATTACCCGTCTGCGTACTGCATGCAGAAAGCTGCAACTGTCTAGTAAGGGGAAGCGAGAGGAGTTGCTGCAGCGGCTGCATGCAGCAGCTGCTGCAGAGAAGATATTGTCTCTTGTTCAGGAGGCTGAAACTGCTTTAGATCTTCAGCAAACTCTCCAAATAACAAAGGAAACAGCAGAAAATGATATTCCCCTTAAATCGAATACGAAGCTAAACCCAAACAAATGCCACAAATGCAGCCGTCGATTGTCTGCCAGTAAGCAAAATGCATTTTAAAGAATCAAAAAAGCACAACAAAAAAACAAAACAACTCCATACAATCACCTGAGTTGTACATTATATGATTACCTGTACATTTACATGTATTTAGTTTTTCGTGTTTTTATATATAGTATGTATCTTTATGTTTATTGATATATGTGTATACGCATATATCTGTATGCATGCATATCTAGATGTAATATTGTCTGCATTGTAAAGCGAGATATATATCTGCATCTCTCTGTGTTTCTCTCTCTCTCTCTCTCTCTCTCTCTATATATATATATATATATATGCATTTGTTGATATTACTGGCAGTGCACATGAATGCGTCGTAGCTTCAATTTGCAGGAGATACAATGTTTATAGAAATATAATTATCGTTGCATGCATTTGAGAGTAAAATAAAACTAATGGATTAAAAGAGATGAAAAGTATATACAGTTGCTTGCTGCTGTTGACATAGTGGCTGCCGCATCGGCAGCAGTTTGTTTTCAGCTACAGCAGCAGCAGTTGCTGTTGCTGCAGCAATCTGCTGTTTTTCTTTTTGCTGCGAGCTGCGAGATCTGCCGCTGCTGCTGCTGCAAATAGAGCTTTTTGCTGCTGGTTGTGTTGCTGCATTCAGAAGCACGTTTCTGTTCCGCATGCGGCGCGACCATCAACACTGTAGGGCAGGAGACGCTGAAGGAGTTTGTTGAGAAATCTTTCTTGCCAGTTAGGTAAGAAAAGAAGCATTTAATTCTGTAAAAGCAAGGACAGCTTCCATCTGCCGCATGATTAGAAATAACTGAAGGCGCTTGCTTGCTAAAGAAGAATTTTTTTTTGCATTTGCAAGAGTTCTTATCGGTGGTTTGGAGTGGTGGTTGTATGTGTTATACATTCAAACATTTTCAACATTTTTCCTTTGCAAATGGACGTTGTTGAATGTGGCGTTTTATCTACGAAAGAAATTAAAAAGAAATTAGAAAGAAAGCTTCTTCTTTGTGCTACGATGCATGCGGCACTGTGCAGAGAACAAGAAGTGGGAAGCAACACTATGCGAGTTGAACGCGGCTTCTGGCAGTCTATTTTACAGGTTTGCTGTTGCTGCTGCTATTGTTGAATTTCATGATATATTGTTTTCCTTAAGATGGATTAAGCTTTCCCTTTCTTGCTTTGTTTGCTGCTGTTGCTGGGGCCTTAGCAAGTGCTATACTTCGTTCACTCGGTATTCTGCTGTTGGAAGCGTGTGCTGTTGGCATGTGATTTGCTGCTGCTGCTGTTGTTGCTGCTAGTGCTGCTTCTATTGCTGCTTCTAGTCTTGCTGGAGTTCCTTGTTCTTATCAAGGGATGAATCCCTTTTCTATATTTTGTTTTGCAGGTTATAGGAGATGTGCCGGTGGCAAATCTTTCCTCTGCTGTTTGGGAGAAGTACTTAGGGTAAATTTGATGTTAGTGCACTCCTCACTTAAAGTCACTCGCACATCGAGCATTCTGTGTTGCGCGTTTTTCTTCCTGTTCTTCTAATACCCTTCAAAAGGGAAAGGGGTGTTCTAGCGGGGAGTAGTTCAACTCACTGTGCTTGTTTTTGTGAGAAGTGCCTCTTGCTGCTGACCGTACGGCTTATCTTGTTGCTTTGAATACACCTATAAATTCACTCCATGTGCTGCAATTAAACACATCGAATTTACCTTGCTGAATTACATTTGCTTTTACAGTTCAGTGTTCGGTTGTTTGTGAAGCATCCTCGGTATCAAAGTTTCTCATTCTACCACTGCATTTTTTGTGCGTTGTTCAGTGTGCTTAAGCGACGCAACTGTTCTCCGCGGACTCAGGTGCTGCATCAGGTCGCTTATTTGGCTGCATTGAAATATGCAGTGCACACCAGACGTCTAGAAGGAATTCATCCCTTTCGCAAGATAAGAGGGTGTACCAAACGAACTCTCGTGTCTGTGCCTTTGACAGCTGAAGAGGTACGTGCAAGCATAATATATATATATATATATATATATATATATATATATATAACTATCCGTGAGAATTGAGCAGTTGGTGCGTGCACAAAGAGCATAGCAGAGAGAGAGAGCCTTCTTCATCTACTCCTGAGAGGCTTCTGTGTGCAGCACAGCCATCCTTTATAGGCAAGGCGCCGGTGAAGTGCATCAGCTTGCTAGATATTGGAGTGCATGCATGCTTATTAATCAGGTATATCTGCTTCTAGCCGCTACTCCGAACACCATGCACTGCGCTTTATTTGCGGTGGGGATTGGGGCGGGTCTCCGGCCTTCTGAGATTTTGTCTATGAGATGGGAAGATGTAAACATGGAGGAAATGACGGCAACGATTCGTGGCTCAAAGACAGCAGCATCAGCAGCCGTCATTCCTCTTACGAATCTCGCAGCGAGAGAGCTGATGCGCTGGTACAGTGTTACTAATGAGTAAACCCTTCCCTCTTCAGCTTCTAATTCATTTATGTGCTGCCTAGAAAAGATGATGATGTCTATTGGGATGTAGCGAACGTTTCGTTCTTCTTTTTAAACAGCTTAGACGGCTTGCTGTTCCAACAGCCACTCGTGCAACATGAGTTGAGCTAGCGAGGCTTTCTAGTGTCATATTTCCCCTCTTGCACAGCTGTCTACAGGAGTGCTCTGTATAGCGATCTCTCGGAACACGGAGTTCATTATGTTTGTTTCTTGCCTTTGAGTCCTTTTGCAGGTGGGAAGAAGAGGGCAAGCCAACAAGCGGGTTGTGTTTCTACGCGGAGGGAATTCGCACGGCTAGCAACAGGGCGAAGTTGGAGAAGAAAACGCCCATCCGTAAGAGCAGCATGCTGCTGTGGACGTGTAGAACGTGATGAACTGCCTTACTTAGTGCGCATGCTGCTGCAGCGTTTCTTCGTTTGAAGGCAACCGCCCAACAACCACTGTGCATTCCGGTGCTTCTGTTGAATAGTCGTTTTCCTCACACTCGTTTTCTTGCCTAAGTTCGTTCGTTAAATAAGTGCAAGGTCGCATCAAGGAGCCCCCAGTGGCAAGGCTTCCAAATGTTCCATTTGTCTTGATCGCAGGATCATTCAAGAAAGCTCTACTGGCTGCGGCACAGCGGTAAGGAGATGCTCTATTACTGCTTTGATAAGGTGGTGGGGTTAGCTATTAACAGTGTCCAAGGCCCAGCATATGTTTGCTTGTGTTGCTTGTTGCGTCACGCGTTTATAGCGCATTGTGAGCTGCGCTTGTATGTCTGCCGCCTGGGTGTTTCCGCATATCTCTGTGCTTTCAGAGCAGGCATTGACGAACTACGTTGTGGGGAACCGCGTCGGATTTTTCCTTACATACTGAGGTAAGGGTGGAAGGGCGGGAGAACGTGGGGAGGCAGAGAGCAATTTAAAAGTGGAGAACACAAAGTTTGCTTCTTATGAACTTTCCAGTGCAAGCTAATCAAAATATGCTGAGATTGTAACATGCGAAGTGCCTCAAAGTCAATGTTCAGGGGTCGACCACGACTCCAACGCGCAATTGGACTTGTTTTTGTAAATGCTGGAGACTAGTAGAACTGCACTCCGACAAAAACGTGCTGTATGCTCATGAATGCTCCAAGAGTGCAGTCTGATTGGTTTGCTTAGATGTGGTGCTTTAAACATAGACGCATCTCTACTATCTTAGCACTCAGTGCTTCCTGTGATGGATTTGCAGGCATTCATTCGCAACAATCGCAGCCACTTCAAACCCCCCCGTACCACTTCCAGTTGCACAGGTTCGAAACATGTAGTTAAAGCAAATGCACGATTCAAGCCGTCACTGGCAGGCAGCAGGAGTAGCATTTCTCCACATTAACGAGTGCTTCCTCGGTGTCAGGGAATATAAGTTATCAACGGCTGTCCTTGGTAGAAAGCGAGCAACAGTTTCAGATAAATTTGCCAATTTTGTTGCTTATCTATGATCTCATAATGTGATGCATTATAGTAGAATGACAGTTCTAGCCATGTGCGCCATCAGGGTTGACCTGTCTGACCCTTCCATTTCATAGCTGCACTAAACTGCGCTGTTTGCGTTATATTCAGGCTGTCATGCGGCATACGTCCTCCAAAATGCTTTTGGAGACGTACGCAAAGGCCGGGGCTTTGGTCATCAAAGAAGGCTTGCGCAATTTTAAGATTTAACCCCTGCAAGCTGTACTGTTTGGAGCGTCGAACTGAAGTCGTGCCAGGAGGCATATAGACGTTTACACGGAATGCATGCCCCCGGGGTGTGCCTGCTCAATGCATATGTTTGTATATTTGTGCCCGGTATATACAGCAGACGTAATTCGCAAGGGCTATGCGGCAATTTACGGTACATAGCTTGAACAGTGTAGGTGGAGTTCACCTCATACGCTTAAAGAGTCTGCGTGCTGCAGTCAGCTACAAAAGCAACGGCCCCTGTTTAAAATGGGTTTTGGGTCGACTGGCGGAACCAAATAAAACGTTGGCTTCCTCTTCCTGTGAGGAGAGCACGCGATAAACATCTTTCGTTACGAACTAGAGTCATATGTGATGTTTTGAGCTTGCTTGCTGCTGCTAAATCAGCAACACTCCTTGCATAGACGAAGCAAACGTCTTGAACACCAGACCAGTGGGGTTCTTTACTTCTTGCGAAGACCTTGGATGCTTCTCTTTCTGAGGAAGTTGCCTTTGGGTTCCTTCGGAGCGACCCGTTTGTTGTGCCTCAGCTTCCACAGCTTTCTTCCAGATGTAGCGGGCAAACTTTCCGGAGGCAGCTCATCTGGATGCTTTGGCATTTTAGCCAGTTGCGACTGTCGGGTAATAATCTCACGCATCCTTGGCTTGCGCTTACCCGTAGAAGCACCGCGGGTCCTGAAACAGCAAAGCCACAGAAAGAAACTCAACAATTTTAAGCAGAGCCAGCGGCCACACTAGAGCCACACGCAACCCACCGCATAGTGCAGTGGTAATTGATTGGAAGCACTATGTTGTCTTCATGAATAGCCTACACTGCTGCTTTAAAGGACTTCAGGGGATCTGCGACCGGGCGGCGACGAGGACCGCCATGGGACCCTTTCGTCATTGCCGCTCCAGCAGTTTGCTGTTGGATTGCAAGTTGGACAGCTGTCATCTGAGGCAGAAAAGATACATACAACAAACATGAAAATACTCCTAAGGGTCAATTTGCACCACCCTGTGGGTCTGTAGACCATTCATACTGGCCAAGTGTGTTAGAATTTCGCGCAGACAGGATAGGAAATTAACTCTTTATGATGGCACAGGACTGGACAATTAGACAAATAGCAATTTAGATACTTTCCCTAAAATACGAGAAGTGCATAATGCAACTCCTGGATGCTCTCCGCCTGATATACGCACTTGAGTTGGACGCGTCTGCGATAAGAGATAATCTGGTAGATGTCCCAACGTGCCCTTTGAGACGTTCATCTCCTGCAACACGGAAGAACATATTTCCAGACCCACTGATGTACTTCTGATCAAAGGGGAGCCTCCAGCTGCCTTGAAAACCTCTCATATCCTGTTGTTGGGCTAAAGGGGCGGGAAGCGACAGCTCGCTGGCTAGTACTGCTCTCTATCATCTGTTGCGAAGCAACACCAAAGCAAGCGGCAAAGTATACTGAATGCTTCAGGGAAACGTAAAGGCATTGTCGAAATGGCGAAGGTGCTGCACCTTGAGTTGTTTGCACGCCCTCTTCAGCACTTCTCTGTCTCTAGGGTTTCTTTCAAAAAATTCCTTGAGCTTCCTCGAATTCAGCAACTGCTGCTGTAAGTCTCGTGCAACAGCCGCGGCAACTACACGCTTTGTTATTCCTCGCCTAACATCTTCAACTCTGTAGCGGAAGCATTCTACATCTTGCAGTTGAAGCGACAGCGGCGTAAGTGCTGAAGAGCAAAACGAAACAGAAAGCGCATCGATGAAGCACTTTACATTTCCCGGATGCTCCTGAAATGTTTGTCCGGGGAATACACAAACACAGAGCTGCTACTGCACGAGACCACTGGGTGTAAAAATAAGGCTCTCGTACACGGCTGCAACGTCCTTGTTCTTAAGCATTTGCTCTACGAACTATGGAAGAAAACTCACTGCTACCCCCTATCCCCCCTGGATCCTTCCGCGCGGTAAACATTTGCTGCAGTAGCAATTGCTGCTGCTCTTGAGATGAGTCTATGAGAGTGACCGCAACTCCCGTCGCACCTCCACGACCAGTCCGACCAATTCTGCAAATCGTCGCAACAAGTACAATTAGCCAACAGTTATCAGTTTCCACATAAACCTAGAAAAACAAATTTTCCTGAGAATCGGGGAGACCCGAGGCAAGCAGGCAGAGAGGCAAAAAGTCTTCATAGCCAGTCTGCAGGCGGCAAACAAGAATAACTAGTACGCTACAATAGAAGCCGGGCACAGCATATTCTTAAATGCACATGTTAAATTACGGCCCCTGCTTACCTGTGAATATAGGACTTCAAGGAGTTTGGAGCATCGAAGTTAAACACACAAGCAACGCCCTGTAGGTCGAGGCCTCTATGGCCAGCGAACTCCGTCTCCTTGCTCTGTAAACACAGCAAGCAAGCGTTTGTGTTCAAAACAGATGCTAGCGAATGCTGATGAAGTTGAAAAGTGCATATAAAGGTGCAGGATTCATGCTCATGCCATTAGAGCTTAATGAATCCAGCAACAGGATTACAATGCATTCTTGGGCCATGAGGGCATTCTGCTACACTTTAGAGGGCTTGGCAAAACGTCCAGTGGAGATGCCATATGCAGCACAATACCACAGATTAACGCGATTTTATGTAGTGTGCTCACTTTGGATGCGTCTTCTCGTCGCCGCTTTCGTGCTTGCTGGTCACTCGCAGACGCCTCACCAGATCCAGAGCCCTCTGTTTCGTTCTGAGGACTGTCTTCTTCCATATACTGTCCATCATTCGTTATCAGGATATCGATGAGGCCTTGATTGAACGCCTGAAATAAGAAGACCAAACGCACCAACGAATGTTGCACCCTGTCCATAATTCAAAAGGAGGATGCGCATATGATAATACGATGCTCGGACCATTTCCCTCTAGAAGCACTAGTCATTTCCATGGAGGAAACGGTATTTCTACTTGAACACATTGCCACCTAAGTCCTCGGCGCAACAGCTAAGGCTGCAATAAACTAAACCAATCATGATATGCACTGAAAGCAAATGGATTTAGGCTGAATACACGCGCCCTGGTGCTGACCTGGATTTGCTGTTCGCGAGCCGCTATCGGCAAAGTTGGACTTAAAACGCCGCTGGCAATTCCAAAGCGGTCAAGGAAGAGGCGCAACGCGTACACGCTGCGAAACGCAAAATACAACACATTCAAATAGTGCGTGATGCGTTTGTGTGAAAGGACAAAGCGAGGCGGGCAGCACGCTCATACATGAAGCACTATGAAATCCATCTGAGCTAGAGTTGAACACAGCTCCACAATACTGCCTAATTCTCAACACTTGCTAAGCTGAAACCAATCACAAAGTAGGAAGGTAAACGCGCAAACCAATTTTGATGCATTTTTCTACTAATAGAAGAAAGTTTTTATGCTTCTGTAAAATGCTGTTTGTCATGAGACGATGGCCAGCAAGCGCAACCCGTGGTGGACAGCTTTCGAGAATAGATCGACTGCGCATGCATAAGAATTGAAAGCACTCTTAAGTCCTCCACTCCTCTGCAAGTACTATCCGCGCTACTTCAATTTGCTAAACCACTTACTTCGAAACGTCTTTGCAGAAAACCAGACATTTCAGAGGGACAAGACCGAGACGAAGAAACGCGTAAGCAACCAGCCACTTCTCCGCTTCAGTTGGAACTTGAAAATAAAACTCGCCAATGGGGTTGGCGCCGCCCGGGCCTCCACCTGTCCTCTCTTCCTCCTCAATTCGAATAATTAATGGCTTGTGCAGCATCAAGTTCTGCAGCTGGGAAAGCTGCATAAATAAACACGCATGCCAGGCGCTTAGCCCCAAAGCATGATTCACATACCACCGCACAAGAGCGCAATGAACATATAAGCAATAACAGATTTTACGAAAGACTAACTTCGTGGTTTTGTGTTGCAGACACAAGAATGGTTTGGTAGTGCCCGGCCGCTGTTGAAGGCAAGAGTTGAAGGAGCTTCTTCGTATCTTTTTCGAATCCAAAAGCAAACAGAAGATCCGCTTCATCGACAACCAGCATTTCCAACAGCAACTGCAAGTCAAACCGCTGCTGCTGCTGCCGCAGATTGTCAATGTAATTCAGAACCCCAGTCGGGGTTCCTACAAGCACAGTGGGGGGACCTAAGAGTTTTCCGTGGGCTCCTGCTGAGCTGGCGGTGTGCGCAACCGTTATTACGTCTTTAGTATAGCTCAGAAGAGCCATTACAACATCATAAACCTGCAAACAAACACTGAGACAGAGAGGCCTAAATGTACGACCAAACGAGGCTTAGAAAGGGAGAAAACATAACTCAGAAAGCCACAAAGACACCCCAAAGGTAGGCATTTAATGCAGTTATGTGTCGCTAGAGCAGACTCCAGCAATACAGAACTCCAATAAATCTACCTACGAGATGGGGGCAGCAAACTTTCTGCCTCTTTGGTCAAAAGCAGCTCAAAGACTAGTGCTAACAAATTCATTTGCAAGTACAACACATTACATTCCGAAATATACTACAGCAGCAAATGCCTCGCTTATATATATATATATATATATATATATATTATCAAGTACATTTAAGTACACTAGCAAATGCGTTCAGAAGTAGAGAAATTTATTACTGTCTCGCTACTCTCTGCTAGTACAAAGCCACAAAATGATTACAACTTCAACTTGCAAATGAAACTGTTTAGATTGCCTATGCATGATGCTACGTCTTATTTAAACACCCCTCTTTTCTGTCTCTTACTCTTTCTCATGACACTGTTTCGTCTCTGAATATTTATCACTAAAGCTATTTCCTGAATTTGCTCACTTGAATGCAGAGCTCCTTTGTTGGAACTAAGATCAGGGCGCAGAGAGGAGGAAGCTCAGCAGTCTCTCCCCTTTGCTGCTGCTGCTGCTGCTCCTGCAGCTGCAGCAGCCGCTGCAGCAACGGCAAAACGTAAGCCAGCGTCTTCCCGCTGCCTGTCCTGCCCTCAATTAACAAATCTCTGCCGCTGAGAGCGAAAGGAATAACCTGTTGAATACAGCCGAACATCATGCACAAAGCACGAAGAAAGAGACATACATACACAGAATAGAAAATACTACTTGGATCAAGCGACAAACGCATATATGTGCATACTCGTGCCTCTTGAGAACTGAAGCCCCAACAATTGCATGCATAACCGCGTGCACGGTGTGGAAGCAGCCGCAGCAACTACTGCTGCAGGGGCAGCAGCAGCAACAGCTACTACAACAACAGCAGCTACTACTACTACTACTACTACTACTACTACTACTACTACTACTACTACTACTACTACTACAGCATTAGAGGTTGCTGCTACTATTAGAGGAGTAGAAGCAGCATTACCTTAGACTGGACGTGTGTTGGATGCTGAAGCTTCAGGTCGTCGATGAGGGCTTTTGTTAGTCTTCTGTCTAAATGTGTTGCACCGAAATCTCTAAAAGTTTGCGACGAATCAATTATTTCCTTCTGTCTATACACCATAACTTCGTTGTCCGCTTCCCCCTCCCCTGCTGCGGCTTCTTCTGCAGCTGCAGCAGCTTCTGTTTCTGCTTCTGCTGCTTCCGCTTCCTCTCCTGTTGCTGCTTCTGTTTCTGCTGCGTTGTTTCCCGCTGTTGCAAGTGTAGAGCCACATACATCTCCCTCCGCCTTCAGAGTGTTTGCTGCGTGTTTTCTTGTCTTTTTTCTTTTGGATTGCAGTTTCTCTCCATCTGCTCTTGGAGGATTCTTTGGTTCGTCATTATCATCAGGGGAATTTGAAACAGAGCCAGTAGCCTTCTCAGGACTTTCTGCCTCTGAAACAAAAATCTCTTCTTGTTCTTGTTCAAGTGAAGATATCTTTCTCTTTTTCAGTAATTTCTTCTTGATAGAATCTTTTTTACGAGGGGAATGTAGCCCAGATGTCGGCGGGGGGCCCGCCGCAGACGCTTTAGAAGCCGTCATAGCGAGAGAGAACAAAGCATTCCGGCAAAAGATCAGCTGCTAATAATATTTAAAATCAATTAATCAAATTTAAACAAAGATAAAAACTAAACGTATTTGTTTACACCTCGGAGCTGCAGCCACTCCAGGAGAAAACCTACGAACAGGTTGTTTTGCAATAATACACTATCAAGCTATTAGCACTTGAACGCTAGATGAGTCTGCTCGCACAAGCAGAAACAAATAAATAAAACAAAAAGCTTAGATTACTGCAAAGAAAAGTTTCATCGAGTGAAGAAGGTCAAGAAGCGACTCTCAGATTGGCTTGCATGCGCTTGACGGCCCCACACAATTTGCTGTACTGAAAAGGAATCAATATGTTCTACCTGCCACGAACTGAAAGCTTTAATATTCAATTTAATGTCTTTTTAGGAGCAAAAACAAACGAAGGCGCTCCTCAGTCAAACTAAATTATCTACCCGCGCCTACCAAAATCCGGTGTCCCTCAACAGCAAATCGTCCCCGCCCTACAGTCTACCTTATGATTAGTTACTGCTACCGTATCTAACTTCGTGGTAGTAACAAGCTGCACAACACGGCAGAATTAGTCGATGAAAAATGTTAATGATTTGCCCGCAGGGACTAGTCATTAAGGAGGCCGAGCAAGAGCTCGCCAAACACTGCCAAAAAAACGAACTACCCCCCATCTGGACGAGGAATTCAATGGAGATGAATGCATGAAGCCTTCATCAAAGACGAGGGCTTGCTGCAGCCCTCCTACTTCCAACGCATCTGTATGATACGCTGGAGTTCGTTGTAGAAGCCTGACAAAACTGCGTTACTGCGTGCGAAACAGAGTAGAGCTGCTGCTGCAGCCTGGCGAGTTATAGCGATAATACTACTGAAGCGAACGTATGGTTCCCGTGCGTAACCTGATTCTAAACAAAAGCTAGTGAACCAACGTAGGGCGACTAGCTGCACGTGGAGCTGTCAGACAAATGCCTTGACGAATCAACAAGACAGCATAGCGCAAAAACTGCACTCATGTCCCTCATGCTCGTCATCGTTTCATCAAGCGATGCATAAACAGAACATACACATGAAAAATATACTAAAACCGTGATAATAAACCGGCATCAGTGTAACTATGACTAGCTGCCCTCAGCTGAGATGGGATTGGTAGGGGAGCGCCAAAACGGAACTCCTCACCATATCCCTCAGGAAGCAAAGAGATGCATCCTTTTGCCGAAGAAAACGAACATTAAATATATAAATAAACAAATATAGAATATAATATAAACGGATAAGTATATATATATATATATATGCATTATATATATATATATATACATCATATATATATATATATATATATATATATATATACATGCGAATGCACAGAGTTGCAAATGC